CCGACGTTGGTAGATTTAGTGTTAAATAAAGATAAGTAACAAGGGTAGTTTCCCAATGTTGAAAATGCAAGCACAATATATGATTTTCTGCCTTACCATGTGAGATGATTCAACGGCCCCCAGCTTGCCCGTCTTGCAATATCGTTCATACATTTATTTTCACTTTCTATAGTATTCGCCGTTTGCATTAAATCAGTTACATACCAACATTATCTATTAATTTATGCATGATTTTTCTTGTCTTATAAACCATGATAAATGATACCCAGGCGAAATCTGACGTGAATATGCAAATCAAAGTTAACAAACACGGAACTAAAACAGAACGTTGTGCATATAAGTGCATTACTATGTTAGTATGTGAGATAACACATTACCTATTGGAAATTTGCAGAATTTTTTCTCTGGGGAAAACTGGTCATTAACCAGGTTACTGTGATTGACAAGTATACTCGTCAGATGGCAGAATGGTCATGCGTATAAGACGGTGATCTTTCACTTTTTAATTTTGCAATGTTTGAGAAAAGCATGATGTTAAATTTCAAGATATATATATATATATATATATATATATATATATATATGTATATATAGGGTAAAGCGGGCCTTAAAGGTCCGCGGGTAAAAAGATCCACCACTGATATCTCAAAAACCAGTATAGCTCACAATTTTTTTAACAATTTTTTGAAAGAAGAGGGAAAATGATGTATAACCGGCTTAATTCTTACGACTTTGCTATCGAAATAAAAATGGCAATGTTTGAAAATCCTTGTTTGACCTTATATAATTACTATTATCATTACGCACCAACTAAACCTCCACCCTGGCAAGGGTGTAAAAAATAAAAAACTCAAATAAAAAGTAATTAAGTTAAAATAAGCAACTTCATGAGAGAAAAACTTAAATAAATAGTTATTCCAACTCCGCTGATGTATATTCTGATGAAATACCAGATTAATTTTAATAGAGGGAAGTCCGCGAGTGCCGGACACCTAAGGTTTTTAAATAAATCAAAAAATATTTTACGAATGTTTATTAAATTATGATTTATGTTAAATACACAAGTTAGAAATCAAACGAAATTAACAAAACCGCAATCTTTGCTAAAAAGTAATTAATACTATCAATCAAACTTTGGTAACAAAAAATATGATTTTAAACAGTGGCACCTAGTACCGGACATTTCAAAATAACCTGCATTGATCACATATGTAGCCTCTCCACACTTTGGAATTTTGCACATGTGTTTTGTCGAGTATTTTTAGATATAGCAAAAAAAAAATCACTATTACCGATGCTCTCAGCTGGAGCATTCATCATAAGATTTTCATTCTTTGACTAGGAAATACGAAGAATGGGTGGTATGTTGTGACCCTTAGCACAAGACAAAATTTTATAATTGGAATAAATTATGTAAATTCTCACAAAAAATATTAATATGTTTACTGTCCGGCACTAAGGGACGACTTAGTGTCCGGTGCTAAGGGACAGACATTTTCGTTCATTTGGTGGCACCTACTAAATTGGTTAAAAAATTTAATAATATTTTACCATTTTACGGATAACAATCAAGTACAACTTTTATCTTTCCATACCACTCAAATGTAAGTGCATAAATATGCCTAGAATTACTTCCATTGATATATAGGTGACGCCGTGATTTTGCGCCAAAAACGGTAAGGGTTGCTCTCGCGCCGTGGCCGTGTGCGTCACAGGCGAGGCTTGGCACGTGATCCTGTACCGTGTGCCCCTTTTACTCGTATTTTGCAATGAAAATATTTATACTCGCTTAAAATATACGTATTAAACAGAGTGTCCGGTGTTTGGGCCGTCCGGCGTTACGGGACTTCCCCCTACTATGTTCTCTCTGTAAAAATGCACCCATAAAATTTGTATTTTGCATTGATTGAATAATGTAGCTATTATTTTGTAAAAACTAAATGGTAGAAAGAACCAGTGTTTCAATATTTTGACACACAGCAAAAACATACATACATAGTCAGATAGTTGTTGGTTTCATATTGCTGGTTTGTTATTATTCTGTTTTCACAGTGTAATTGGCCAAAATTCAAATTGGACCTTTGTGCCTCTCCCTACCCTATATATAATAGAATAATAATAGGTAGTAGGTACTGCAGAAGATCGTTCAGTATTAGAGAAATGGGCTACTTTTATTTGGAAACATATTTTTGGAACTGAATTTTAAAAAGAAAATTGATATCACTACCGCATAATATCAGGTTCTCCAGATATATATATTAGGGTGGTCCTTAAAATGGTCATTTTCGAATTTCCTTGCTCCCAGGGGCTCAAATGGTTCCAAATTGAATAAAAAAACAATTCTCTGAAAGTTTTAGCTCTTAACATTAACGTTTAGATAGAGCGCAATTCAATCAAAGTTTGTATGGAAAGAGCATGGAAAAATTTTGAAAATTAAAAAAAAATGTTTTGATGTTTTGAGTTTTATTCATTCATTTGTTCGCTAAATTACATTTAAAAAGCATTTTTAAAATTTTTGAAAAATTTTCCATGCTCTTTCCATACAAAACTTTGATTGAATTGCGCTCTATCTAAACGTTAATATTAAGAGCTAAAATTTTCAGAGAATTGTTTTTTATGATCTACTTCACCAGAATCGAATTGTTTCATTTAATATTCATTTTTTCCGAACGAATTTCATTTTAATTTAATTACGTTGCATACGATTATAACTGCAGAATTTAATCACAATTATTAATTTCTATATCATTTTTATATGAGACAAAAAAAGCCACTAATTAAAAAATTGGAAACTGGAAAATTGCTTAAAATAATAACACAAATCAGTTTTCTGCAATTTGAAGTTTGACGATAAAAATCAGATATTACTGTTAATAAGAATGTTATAAATTTTTTAAATAAAACTTAAAATCGTGATAATAGAAAAGGCGAAAGCAAGTTTGTGAATAATAGAAAACAAATAGTGTTTTATTTTTGATTCAATTTAGGAACTAGTTGTAAGTGGCACGTGTAAAGAATCGATTTAATAATTAATAAATCAATATAATAATTTATGAGTGATTTATAAGTACCCCGAGATTATGTAGGGCTTAACAATGTGAGGAACCAATGCAGATTATTCAATTCTGCACAACTTTTTATTACACATTATTGAAAATCATACACGTGCCTGATAAAACTCGGAGTATTTTTTAAAAGCGCGGCCGAATGATTCAAATTTTAATAAATTATTAAGATTCAATTACTTTCCATATTGTATTAGCATAGAATAGGGCAGGCATAATGATACAATTCGACTTTGAGCAATTGTATTGTGAAAACTAAACCAATTACATTTTAAGAAATAATAGCTACATAATTTAACCAAAGCAAAGTAAGAATTTTATTTACATTTTTACGAAGATAAGACTGTATATAACCTTGATCTGGTATTTCATCAGAAGTAATCATCAGCATGGTTAGAATAACTATTAACTTATAAGCAGAATTGCTTTTGATAACTTTTTTTCACTTTTTTCATTTACTAATTTTTATTGTTTACGCGTTTGCCAGTTTGTCCTTTTAATATATAAAAACTGTTGAATCTAACTTCAAAATAATAATACATCTTACAAAACAATTAAATTACGTATACTTAAAAATTGTATTATAATCTCGTAAACTAAACAACAGTTTAGCTCACAACCAAAAAAAACTAACAACAAAAGAAAACACATTGTTATGATTTTGCTGTTTATCTCCTGATAGCAACGTTGTAAGAATCAAGATAATGGCTAGTTATACCTCTTTATCTTTTTACTTTCAAATATCGTTGTTGAAAAACTCTTAACTTTACTTGTTTTTGAGATATCGGTGGTGGATCTTATTACCCGCGGAAACTTGAATCCCGCTCTATTCTATACATTAACCCCTTAACTTACAATGACGAGCAGAACAAGCGTGCGATGGTTAGGCCACAATTAATATTTCAGGCATAGCCCGCGTACGAAATCTGGCCAGAAGCAAATATTACGCATGTATTACAAAATATTTATACGAAACTATTAAACACTAAATTATTTTTATTTTTGCGATAAACTGCACATTGTGTGAGAAAATAGTCACAAACGCTGCACCAGCTTAAGCAACTTTGGCCGAACATTTTCGATTCTATATCGTAAGTTAAGGAGTAAAGAACAGTTACTTTATGACCATCATTAAACTCATCGAGATTTTTTAAAACAATCAATTGCAAAGAAACGGCTTGACCTATCTTTGTCCAAAACTAATGAGCACGATTTCCAACTGATCTCCAATCAGTTTTTGAATATCCAAAATCATTTCAGGCACCTGCCAATCGATGACACCTACCAATCGAGTACGTATGCATATTTTGCTAACTTGTAAAATTGTAATACATTGTCATAAAATTGGGAAGCCGAATTAGTTATATATTTATAAAATAATGAGGTTGTATGATTAATAATTATTATTCTCGACAGATTGCGGCATAACGAATCAAGAGATCCGAATAGTTGGGGGGCGTCCGACGGGCGTGAATCGCTACCCGTGGGTGGCGCGTCTCGTCTACGACGGTCAGTTCCACTGCGGCGCCTCTCTTGTTTCCGAGGACTACGTACTCACTGCCGCGCATTGCGTCCGAAGGTAATTACCGACATTTAATTAAAGTATTTGGGCACTCTCGACGGTAAGTTAATGGGTAGGGGTTTCAGATTCCATACCCGCCTCCGACAGTCTGATGTCAAGCAGTAGTGACATCGGTTTTACTTAAAAAAAAATAGCTAAAATATGTTTCCAAGTGAAAATAGCCCTTACCAAAGATTGTTGCATCAATTATAATGCATCACCATTATAGAATAATAATAAATTCAACAATAGTGGGGGCCAACACATTCTTGCGTTGGGTTGCCTTCTGAAAAGCGACTTAGTTAAGTAAAGTACAATAGCACACAATAGAACCCTTAAGTTCTGATCGCTGGCCAAATAATCAAGGAAGAAATCAAGAAAAATCAAGTTAAGCTTAGGATATGCTTCATAAAAATAATGATTATTAGAATTATTGGATCAATCCTCAAAAAGTTAAGTCTCAATAATTGCTTAGGGGGAAAATACAAGTGAAAGGGGCGCGGGGGGCACACAGATGTAGGATCACGCGCCAAGACTCACCTGTGACGCACACGGCCACGACGGGAGCAACCCTTTGTTAGACGTCACCTAAATATCAATGGAAGTAATTTTAGTGTATTTATACATTTATATTTTAGTGGCATTCAAAAATAAAAGTAGTACTTGATTGTTATCCGTAAAATGGTAGAATATTATTAGATATTTTAAACAATTTTAGTAGGTACCACCAAATGAATGCAATTGTCTGTCCCTTAGCACCGGACACTAAGTCGTCCCTTAGTGCCGGAAGTAAACATATTGATATTTCTTGTGAGAATTGACGTAATTTATTCTAATTATTTAATTTTGTTCTGTATGAGTGCTAACGGTCACTGTCACTACATACCCCCATTTTTCGTATTTTCTAGTCAAGAATGAGCATCGGTGTGGCCCAGCCAAAACGGTGAATAATTAGTGATTTTTTTTGCAATATGTAAGAATATTCGTCTAACACAAATATGCAGACATTCCAGAGTGTGGAGATGGCTACATATGTGCTCAATGCTGGTTGTTTTGAAATGTCCGGTACTAGGTGCCACTTTGTAAAATCATATTTTTTGTTACCAAAGTTTGCATTTTTGTTAATTTAGTTTGATTTCTAACTTTGTTATCTAACATAAGTCATAATTTAATAAACATTTCGTAAAATATCTTTTGATTTATTTATAAATAACCTTAGATGTCCGGCACCCGGGGACTTTCCCCTACCTAAAAACCACCAGGCCTCAAACCTGGTGCGGTCTAATAGAAATAAATTAAATACAATAGAAATAAAATAAATATAAATTATTAGAAGTAAGGCTAAATAAATTTATATTTAATTTTATTTTATTCTATCTGCTCGGTTTATTTGTATATTCAGATAAATAAAACAATAGTTTATATTCTAAAGATAGGATTATAATAAGATACTTTTTATTCGCATTTTACTATCTGGACGGAATCAACTGTGACATTTTTTTTGGTATTATTATATTCTGCCTATCAATTTCAAGATTTTGCATCTCATTGTCAATTTATTAAATCTTAGGATATGTTTATAGTCTCGGTTGCTTTTATTGCTTTTGATGGCTAGATTACCGGACCTTTAAAAGCTTTAATAATTTTTACAAAACATAAAATCACTTATAATAAACTTCCCGTAGAGAATGTTGTTGAAATAATAAAAAATGGTTCATAATATTTGTTTGAAATCTTTACGTTGCAATAACTTGTGTTGGTATGCTTTTGTGAATTAATGAGATCGTTTGGATCAACTATGTTGTAAAATTAGATCAATTGATAACGTGAATTGTAGAAAAAAGTACGTGATCCAACGAGGTGCTGGAAAACTTGGTTAAAATCGTTTTTGTGCTGATAATGCTAAAGGACCAGATATAATTAGTTAGTGTTTATATCAGACCATTAAAAGATGACGTTTAGTTTATTAACATGTTGTTCATTTAGATCAGGGCTTCTTAAACTTTTTTATAAAGCGACACCCTTCAAGCTTAGGAAATTTTAAACGACCCTCTCCTCCATATAATAAAATATATATTAACCGTATATGTAGATGTAATATCGCACTATTTTACGATGTATATAAAATATAAGGATTAAATAATATGTACCTATTCATGTCACACACACACACACACACACATATATATATATATATATATATATATATAATTGAAAACTATATATATACAATAGAAAAAATAAACTTTTGTAACATTTTTTTTAATGATCACACAAATAATTAAATCTAGGCTCAATTTGAGTTAGTGCAGATCGTAATAAATTTTTGTTTATAAAAGCTTATTAAAGTCTATTAAAGTTAATGTGGAAAAGGCTTATTCACACAAATATGTTGCACAAAATGGCAGTAATTTGTTTATTGTCATTTCCGATAGAAGGGGATATTCAGATTTGATTTCTATCCAAAATTCATGCACAGACACTTGAGTCGTAAATCGTAAAAATCTGAGTCGCAAGGTAGTATCACTTGTTAATTCGGCAAATTCTTCTTGTGCTTTTAAGTTTAAAAAATTAATTTCTTCCATTTCAATTGAAAATGGATTGCAAATCCATTGTTATGTATCGATATCATTGGGAAAATACCTATGTATGTAAACTTCCATATCCTTCAAATGATTAACTATAATTTTTGTTAAAGGAGTATCTTTTTTTGAAATATTGTTATTAATTATATGCTCATCAGTAAATGAAAACATGTCGAGCAATTCACTTTCCACTCTGTTTTTCCATATTAGAATTATTTTAACAAAGACCTCAAGTTTATTTTTTAACATAAACATCATTGATTTTATCAAAAATATCGGCCAAATAGCATAGCTTGAGAAGCCATAAATTATCGTGAAAATAATCGGTCTAATGATACTAATTTTAAAATTTTGTTTATAATGATTGAAAAGTATCAGACCTTTGCGATCCCTCTTCAGTAGTCTCGCGACCACCCTGGGGTCGCGACCCACACTTTAAGAAGCCCTGGTTTAGATAACGTGACCATACTTACCGGTTTGGCCGGGACAGTCCCGGATTTCCAGCTTGTGTCCCGGGTTGTTTTAAAAGCATTATTTGTACCGGATTTAGATATTTCGTCCTGGTTTTTCGCAAATTATCAAATGAATTAACAAAAATTATGAAAACAAACAAACAAATGTTATCCATGGCTCCATGCCTCGTAGCGCTCGACGCAGCCAGTATAAAACTAATAATGGTTTACTTTTATTTGTATTTGCATTTAAATAAAACATCGAAATATAAGTGAACCTATATTATATGATGCAAATTCGAATAAAAGTAAACCATTATTAGTTTTATACTGGCTACGTCGAGCGCTACGACACATGGAGGCATGGATAAGGTAAAAAGACAGGTACAGGGAATTCTACCATCATAGAAGCTGGCAACGTGGGTTATCTCGTTACTTGGCATCTGAGGTAAAAAATTTTAAAGATAGTTGGCGGTCCTCAAATTATGAATACTTGATGCCCTACAGAACCCGCTTTATTTTTAAAACTTTAGTAAAGTTAGGTAAGCTGTTTTGGCGGTTCGATGGAAAAAGAACAGAAAAGGGTTACTTTGGTGCGATTATTATTTAATCAGTTCGTAAGAAGAAATAATAGACAATGTCATGCAATCGTATCCATTAATAAACTAATTTAATAATGTTTGATTCTATTCAATATCAGTTATTAATTTATTGATCATATTCTCAGATTAAAGCGTTCGAAGATCCGAGTCATATTGGGCGATCACGACCAATTTTCGACGACGGAAACGCAGGCCATAATGAGAGCTGTCTCAGCAATTATCAGACACAGAAATTTCGATGCCAATTCATATAATCATGACATAGCTTTATTGAGACTGCGAAAACCTGTCACATTTGGTAAGCAAAATATTTAAAAATAGCATCATTTTATAAGGTAGGGCCAGCGGTGGCGATATCGGTTAGAGCGTGGGCTAGCACCAACTAGACCCAGGTTCGCTGGTTCGATTCCCGCTACCGCCAAGCCTGACATCAGGCAACTTTGATGTCAAATTTCCACTAGGGGTTATAGATCACAATATAATTCCAAGTGGAAATCGTTCTTCGTGGACATAGTTGCATACAATCATACGCACACTATTAGACATAAGAGCTAATATATAAAAAAACACACATAGGAGAATGATCCACCGATGGGTTGCTTCTCATATCAATACCTTAGGTCATAAGTCATACACAAAAACAGCTTATAGAACAATTATAAAGAGTTCTGATTGCTGTGGAAACAATAAAAAAAAAATTATAAGGTACACACATTATAAGGTAGAGTGGGGTTTAAAAGTCCGCGGGTAAAAAGGTCCACTACCGATATCTCAAAAACAAAAAAAGTTGAAAAAAAATTAACAACAATATTTAAAAACAGAAAAAGAAAGATGTATAACCAGCTATTCTTACAACGTCGCTATCAGCAGACAAACGTTTCTTTCGTAGTTATTATTTTTGATTGCAAGCAATGTTGTTCAGTTTTGAACTATACGTTATTAAAATATTTTATAAAATATAATATAATAGTATTTAAGATACTATTAAATTCAACAGTTTTTTATATATAACCTCTATAAAATCTCATATACAGCTGGGTTAAAAAAGACCATCTGAACCTTCATCCTCACAAAGGCGTAAACAATAGAAAGTAAATTAAGTTAAAAAAGGTAATTTTACAAGATAAATTGAATAAATAGTTATTTCAACTCTGCGGATAAATATTTTTGACAAAATATTAGATCAAGGTTACATACAGTGTGTATTTAATAGTTTTCTGCGAACGTCGATGTGTTTCTGAATATATTATGTAAATTTTATGTAATAAAGAGTAAATATAAGTTAACGTTAAAAAAATGTGTTTCATTGTTAAAAAGAAAACTCTCTAACGTTTGTGATAGCGGTGACTGCCAAAAGTATCATTTATTTTTTTTGTTCTGCTTGAATGAATGACCAAAAGCAATCAATAGAAAAGTGCTACTTCAAGAAACGGTAGTTAATTGCAAAAAAATTGCTTTCGAGGAAAGCCTCATCAAATCACAAAATTTGTCGCAAATTGAAGTGAATATTGAAGTTGATATATAAAAGTTTCAATAAAAGAATTAAAAATATAATCATGTATCAAAAATACACACACACAAACATAATATATATATATATATATATATATATATTATTTATATATTAGGGTGGTCCTTAATATGGACATTTTCGAATTTTTTTGCTCCCAAAGGCTCAGATGGATCCAAATTGAGAAAAAACAAATCGCTGAAAGTTTTAGCTCTTAATATTGTCTGAAACCATGGTATGCCTCATCTTCAGTATAATTTCAAAAACAGTTACTTATATACTACATATTCTTTAATATATTATTTATATTACATTTAATTTTTGAAATACAAAAAACACCAACTATTCTTTGCAATGCTTGACACAGTACTAAAAAACATGTGACACTTACAGAAATATTCTAAACAAATCTGAAGTATCTAGCTAGGTGGAGACAGGATGGGCATTATTATATTGCAAACAAAAGGAGTGCGATCGCATACAAAAATCAATAAATATGAAAACAGATTAATTTATTGAAGAGAATAAGATAAATGAAAAAATTATAAATTAATAATGATGTTATATAAGTGCCGTGTAAAATATTTGTGTCGGTTCTCAAATTTACGCTATTGTTAGTCCGAACTATTAACATTGATTCTGCCACGCTCCGTTTAAATAAGTCTTTTTCATGGAACAAGATTTGGGGATTGTCAAAATCAAACTTATGGTTGTTGATATTAGCATGATCCACAAGTGTACTTCTAAATTTTTTGTTATCTAATCTATTTTTTCGCATTGTAATTCATGCTGCCTGAGTCTTTTTTCTAAGTTCTGGCAAGTCTCGCCAATATAAGAGCAATTACAATCCAAACAATTTACTTTTTAAACTATATCTTTCTTTTTTCTTAAAGGAGTTTCGTCTTTAATGTTGGAATATAAAAATTTTAATTGTTTCAACAAAGAAAAAGTAATATGAATATTGTGTTTTTTGAATAGTCTTTTTGATAATTGGTTAAAAGTATTGTCAAGATATGGAAAATTAATGAAAAAAGTTTTTTCAGGAACACGTGTTTGGCCATGATCTTCCGGTTTCTTATCAAAAGGTTCAAGTAATTTAGCGACTCTGTTTTTAACAATTGGACATATTAACTTGTATGAAAAATTATTGCCAAGTAAGAACGTTTTAACTAATTTTATGTTTGTGTCATGAAACGAAGGATTAGATAATAAAATAGCGTGATCTACAAGATTTAAAATGGTAGAAATTTTTATATTGAGAAAAACCTGTGAATTAAAGTTAATAGTACATTAACCCGGACCAACTATATTTTCTGTACCAATTTGTGAAACATACACCGCCTCTATTATTCTTCGTTACATTTTCTTGACGTAAAACTCATTAATAGGTCCACCCCTAAAAATGTTTTCTGAATTTTTTGATCATTTCCTTATATCCTATTTTTGTGTAATGCGTAGTTAAAAGTCATATAGAAACCTAATTATTCACCCATCTATAACAAACTCCTATTTTTGATAGTAATTTTCATAATCAAATATGAAGTTAAAGACAGCGAAATATTGTATCTTTAAAGTATTTATGTTTAGTATTCTTTATCAAACATATATATATATATATATATATATATATATATATATATATTGACAATGAAATTTACCACAAAACAATTTTTTTTCATAATGTTGAACGCTGAGTTCAAAAATTTATTTAAAAAGTGTTCAAACATACATAACTTTTTGAAGAAAATTAATACACTTTTTACTAATAAATAAATATAAACAATTTCAAGCAGTATAATTGTGGATAGGATATTGTTGAATTATACATCAATAAATTTAATAATCAACAAATTATTTTATAAGATTCAAATGTGTTAAAATTATTGACATGAAGTTACTGGTCAACTCACAGGAGCTTTGACTATAATGTCCGCTAAATTCTTTTTTATTTCTTCAAACTTTCTCTTGAATTCTAGACCACAGCCCTTTGATAATCGGAAGTCAATCAACAAGTTTTTGTTTACATTTATCATATTGTCTTTGAATACCAACGGCATTTTGCGCCTGTCTAAGGTGTTTATTGTTACTACGCCCTCATTTACCTTCCAAAGGTCATTTTTGTCGAGGCAACTAGTAAGCTTCTTAATGACGCTCTTTGTATCTCCGCTAACAAAGAATCTAGTCATTCTTTTAACTGACTTAGGCAACATATTTTTTCTTTCACTTTGTGGGAGATTCAAGTTAGTACTTAAGACCATATCATTCATAAGCACCGGCTGCGAGAAGCAAACATCAGGTCTGGAAGAAGTGTCACTTTCTTGAGCATTTGGAACAATTCCAGATGCCGAAAGTGAGCATATGCTGTTATTTTTTTCATACTTAGCCATGGCACAAAATCGCTTATAAGGGGGCTCATGCACGACATCTTGGTGTGATATTTGAGAATCTTCACTAATGAATTGCATTGCGCACCATCTATGACTTCTTAATGTGTCTAAGTTGATCCTTTTATTTGGAAGAGGTGACAAAATTTTTCTCAGCAAAGATAATGCTAAATTATCAAGCTTGGTCCAAGGCGTTAGCGAAGTATAAGAGTTCATCTTCCAAGCTGTATATTCATAATATTTCCACGTGGCTTCATCCCACGGCAACTCTCCAGTAAGCATGGCAGTTAAAATTATCCCGCAAGACCAAATATCGGCAGGCTCGGCTTTATAATGTCCAGTTAAAACTTCAGGCGCAATGTAAGGCAGAGTTCCACATCTCTCCTCAAGAAGGCGTTCATGACCATTTACTCGAAATATGGTTGCCATTCCAAAATCTGCAATTTTCAAATTATCTTTATCATCAAAGAGTATATTTTCGGGCTTTAAATCCCTATGTGTTACACCTCTCCTATGTAAATAGTGTAAACCAGACAAAATCTGATTAAAATATTTCTGTGCCTCATTATTTCTCATACCAAATCCAGGCTCTATTCGATCGAACAATTCGCCGCCTTCTGCATACTCCAAGAATATATATTCAATATTTGCTTGTGTTTTTTGTCCGAATAGTTTTAACACGTTTCGGTGGCGTAAAGACTTTTGTATAACAACTTCTTTGTGCACAGCACGTTTAGCATCCCGATGCTTGGCTGTGACGATTGTTTTCATTGCCAGAGCTTCTCCAGTTTCTCGATTTATGACTAGCCTTACTTCGCCATAAGCCCCTTCTCCTAGTATTTCTGTTACGGTCCAACCCCCATCAAATTTGTGCGCTTTTGAAGCCGCCATTTCGCAACGAAAAATTTTTACATTTTTAAAAAAGCCAAAACTGTTTACTATTGAAATTAATATTTGTGAAAAAAAAACAAAATACATTCAAATGTCAAGTTGTTTGTACTACTTTGAAGCGATGACTGTATCAAGCTAGTGGGGCGCATGGCATCGTGCCTTAAGGCAAATAGCTGGAACTTGCCATACCGTAAGTCAACATTCAAAAAATGAAAATAATCATTAATTGTTTTGAATAATTTCAAATAGGTAATTTATTATAAATACATACTGTAAATCTATAAGTGCTTTTTAAATTAGGCCTCGAGCGTATTCTACAAACAACTTTTTGTGTATGTTTATAAAAAATGTATGTAAAATTATTTTATTTTATTTGATTTTTTTGATAATTTATAAGTTTATTCAAAATTTTTTAATTTATTTAGATGTTTGAAATGTTTTGAATTTTTTTAAGGAACGCTTTTTTTATTTTTTTGAGAATTTAGAAATTACTGAAAATATTCTATTTATTTT